TGAAACGATGCGACTAGTATACTTAGTGGACCAGGAACTTGCAGCATAACGTCACGGTCGCCATCTTGGAATTGTGACAGCATAATACAAAAGAGATTGAATTATTGCGGTATATACTTTTGGCAATAATGGGGCTAGATGATCAAGGCTAAGCGTATTGCATTTACCGATTTGCATGTGCCCATAATATCCACAAAATACCGTGACTTCATCAACTTCCGAAGTATTGCCCGATTGAAGCGTTAAAGAAATGTTATTAGGTTTAGTCGATTAGTGAAGAGAGCTTTTAGTAGTTCCAACTCGAATTAAAATGTTTTAAATCCTCCCTTTATCCACTAATAGATTGTTGTAAATATAAAAGCCACAAAGAGTTAACCTTTTAAAATCTGTTTAAATTTGTTCAACCTTTCAAATAATTCTGATTTTAAGTATGTTTTAAGAGGACATTACATCTTCATTAAGGATACATTTGTGTTTTAAGTGGTGTGTTATTTCTCAGCGTGCAGTCTTATTACAATACTTCTGGTCTTTCAAACTGTTAATAGATTTGTTTTTGTTCAAGTGCTTCCTTCTCGACCATTATATAACTTGATAATGAATTTGCGATTAGAAAATGAAAATGATATTAAATATGGGGTTCAACGTTCTACTGTTCTGCTCCGGGTGGGCCTATGAAGACGGGCACACGCCATACAGTGTGCTATTAGGGACATTTTGGCCGGCCTACGCTAACATCCAAACCCAACGGTCAAAGGATCTTTTTCATACACGCCAATGTATGTACACGTTACCCTAAACTGACGCTAGAGATCGTGTATCTTTGAAAACATTTCGAGCGCCGGAGTCTGCTACATTGAAAACTGTCGGATCAGTAGAGAGCGCGTTTGTGTGGGGTAGAGGTCCATGATGTTCTGCGAATTAATACCAATTCGATTACAAAAGCCCATAATAGTTAATTTTCACTCACATATAAAACTGATCCGCATTTTAAAAAAAAATTGGTTTGAGGAATAGGTTAGTCAAAATGTATTCTGGTCTTATTTAAGCAATGTGCATATTGTAAATATGATTTGAAATCTTGAGTGAAACCAGACTATCACTATAATGCAATCTAACTATTCAGTTTGAATTGTAACTGTATTAGCGACACGAAGTGCCTTTATTATATTACTATTTCCATATCTGGTGAATAAGGAACAACAAACTAGCTCGTTGTTCGTTATTCGCGACACGAGTAGAAAGACCGCTTATTAGAATCTATTTCTGAGAAAAATAATAATTATATATTACATTATGTAAGAGCGAATTCTGCCTATTTGGGGGAGTTTTTTGGCGTGAAATGTTATATGAATTATTAATTAGACATTTATTCACATGGAACGCCCATAATCAACTGTATAGAACATCGGATGACTGTGATTTTAAACAGATTGAAACACGAAATGGATCATTGAGACTTTCTTGATTATCGTAAGAGTAGCAATAAAAATCGCGACTACGCTGTATCAGACATTTATTCATGACAAGCCTATAAGTATACTCAACTCTCTAGAACATTGGGTGGCTGTGATTTTGAACGGATTGAAATACGGAATGGATAATCGAGACTTGGGTGATTATCGTAACAACGGTAACAATGAAAATCGAGACTACGTTATTCTTGGCACATTCAGAACGTCGCTTATAATTTGACTGAAATTTTCAATATATTCCCTATTTATTTATCTGGTTTTTTTTTTTATAAAAAAATCTATTATCTAAACTGTTTATCTAAATCTCACATAATGCATCTCTAATATGTACTTAGCTCCTTTAAAATTATTGAGAGAGAGAGAGAGAGAGAGAGAGACTTTTTTTACCTAGGCAAATTTGTGACTTTTTTGTGTCATTTGGGGACTAGTATATGGTTCGATTTCATTTCAATAGGGGTCTTTAGCAGTGGAACGAAACCGGATGACTCTACTACGTGTCACGTACAAGCGGCGAATTGAAACCACGCCAAATGATTCGCGCTAACCACCCCACCCCCTCCCCATTTTGGTTGAACATACCATGGTATCAGTGGCGGATTTAGATGAAACAAGGCCCATGGCTAATCCACGTATGACACGCCCCCCCCCTCTCCAATCCCCCGCCCTCACGACTAGAGCAAGGTATGTTTTCAACACAATTCAGCAAAGCCGAGTATGATGACGGATGTTGAAGACTGCAGTACGTAGGAAAGGGCGAGATTTGTACAAAAGAACACGTATAATCTATACTAATATTTGTGACTGTCGTTTGTCTATCTGTCTGTCTGTTCGGGGTTGGCGGCTACACGGGGTTGGCGGCTACACTAGGTCTGCCCCGAGTCTGAAATTTGAGGTATATATGTAGCTCGGACCGGGGAGTAACATAGGCCAGGTGGCGTTAGTCTACCACTTCCGATTTCGGGGTTATGACCCCCGAGCGAAGCCGGGCATTCTTCTAGTAAATAATATTATGGTCTTGACTAATTTTTGTTTATAGATTCATAGACAAGCAAAACAGCACGTGAAACAAATGGAATCTGTGATAATACGATACATTAATTGAACTTTAGGTTAATAAACACAGTTGTCATATTATGCCACCTATTGGTATGCAAGGCACGAGGCATATCCATTCCATAGTTGGCTTATTCGTGACGTCATTAAGCTTAGTAACCAATCATAATTAATTGCGTATTGTTAATTAAATAACAAATGAAATGAAATGAAATGGGGTTTAACGTCCTACTGTTCTGCTCCATCTGAGCTAATGAAGACGGGCATACGCCATACAGTGTTCTATGAGGGAAATTTTGCCCGGGCAGCGGCACCATCGCCTACTCTTATATCGAATTCCAACTGCCAAGGGATCTTTTACGTGCAAGCCAATGTGTACACGCCACAGACAAAATGTTTTAATCCATAATTCAGAACAAATTTGTGCTATTCAATTAAAAGAAAAGTAAAATTAGTGTTTTATTAGATTTCGGGCACTTTATTTTGCCAACTTGATGAAGTAATAATTTGTGTTTTCACTTTACCCGTCTGCCCGAAAAGTCAGATTACCCGAAAGTTGTTACGACAAGTCTAGACTTTAATTAAAGTTTTGAACATTTCTAGACTTTAAAGGCTTAATACCACTCTTGTTGTAACTGAATAATATGTCACAATCTTTATTCTGGTCAACAAATTGTACTATTTTACAATATTCCAATTAATTGATGATACAAATTTCATCTTAACACACCTAATTTTAAAACATTGGAAAAATTCAACTAAATGATTTGAAAAGCCTGACGTAAAGCTTTTCAAATGTGACTTGGATTTAAAAATATTTTTGAACCCTCTGGACAAGTAAAATAGGATTTAATGGATAATTTACACAACAGGTAGGACACTAACACATCTAGTACTTAGAATAAGGCTATTTTTTTATTTTCTGGAGCTATCAAGCCAGCAAGAGTGTTATTGTCCCTTTAATTAAATTTTTGAACATTTCAGTTTTGCAAAATATTTAAATAAAACAAGCCGCATGAAAACTGGTATATGATTCTATGTTTTGCCATAAACGAAAAAAGTCACAGAAAACCTCGAGATCTTAAAAGTAACCATTTCTTGGTACAAAATAAACATCCCAGTTATAATTCAACGGTGGTCTACCTCCATAACGGATATTTGTTTTATACGATATTAACTTGCTATACAGGAAAGTTGTAGACAATGTAGTGTACTAATGCGTTTAAATGATAACGGATGTTTGTTTCCTATTTGGCAAGATAATACTTCCCTGTTACGAATTTGTCATAAATTTTCTTTTAGGTTAAATATGAAACTTATTGGAAAAATTGGACACAGTATACGGCATTATACATTGAGGTTCAGGATAGAGGGCTTAACAAGGGACAATGTGTGGTCGTTCGGATGGGACGATAAACGTAGCGGTTAATAGAACACATAATATCACTTTACGTTTTCGTGAGGTATTGGATAAACAAGAATCTGGGGTTTTCCACGGACATTTGAAGCACACTAATCTACAGCCTTTAAAATCCCCACACCAGACTATTTAGTTAAATGGGCTTTTTTTGGCTGTTATGACCAATCTGTTTGACTGTTATGGTTTAGGGCCGTTATGTCTATAACCCAATGATATGACATGTCCACACAGCTAATGCACCTTCTACTATATCCCGATCTTTACAAACTTGAGATGTTGCATCTGGATTGATAAAACTATACTCGAAACCCACACTTTTATGACGGATATGACTTGTTTAAACCTTTTATATTAAGACCACTATCTCAAAAGGCTTTAGTCTGGAGGTCGGGTGTTCGATCCCTGCCTTGGCCGAGAAAGTTCATCCAGATTTTCCGACGTGGTTTACCCTTGTCAGTGATGCAGGACGTAGGGCCTGACAAGGGCAACTGTCTAGTTGTTCGGATGGGACGAAAAACCGAGGTCCCGTGTACAAATTGGCGTACACGTAAAAGACCCCTTGGCAGTTGGAATTCGATATAAGAGTAGGCTGTAGCGCCGCTGCCCGGGCAAAATTTCCCTCATAGCACACTGTATGGCGTATGCCCGTCTTCATTAGCCCAGTTTAGGAGCAAAACAGTTGGACGTTAAACCCCATTTCATTTCATTTCATTTCAAAAGGCTTGTACTGCAAGGCAGACCGAACTCAAACTTTTTCGCATGGGCGTCTCCACCGGGGAGATGCGAATGCGGGAGTAAGTGCAAGTTGCTCTCTCGTGGGGAGGGGGGGGGCATGCTAATCGGCCAGTGACACGGGGGAGTCGGCCAACCGAATACGTCCCCCCTAAGGCCAGCTGCGACTGGAGCCGCCAACAAGTGAAAGGAATCTAACCGTAGATACAAAATAGAAGATCAAAATAATATATCAATTCTGTAGAAAATAGCTAAGTTGGTGTTTGGATTAAAATGAATAAATTCTTAGGCTTTCACCTTTATTATCATAAGCAACAACACACCAACACCCATTTCAGTCCTCAAACAATCCATGCGAATAGCATATCGAATGATTAGTAATACATTCCTATATAAGATTAGTATCAGGCCCGTAGCCAGAGGGGGGCAAGGGGGGGGGGGTGGGCAATGCCACCCCTAAAAACCTCACTGCCCCTCCGAAGCTAGCAAGCTGGCTACGGGCCTGATTAGTATACATATATGATACATATATGCACACTTTTAGTTAAAAGTCACACACATATTAGATAATATAACATAATATAAGCCATTATATAATATATGAAATAATATAAAAAACATATAATGTAAATTTAGGAAACATGCATTGCAATATATACAAAGTAACACACGTCCATGATGGTCTGTGTTGGATGGGTGGGGGGGGGGTACATAAAGGCTCATTAATTGTTATGTTAAAACGCTTCCACATAATAGATAAAAAACATAATATAAGCAATTATATAATATATAAAATATAATAAACATATAATGCAAATGATAAATATGCATTGCAATATATCAATAATAACACACGCCCATGCTCATGTGGGTGGGTGGTTGGTATGAGGCATTGCATCAATAACAACACACGTCCATGCCCATGTGGGCGTGTGGTTGGTATGGTATGCATAAAATTTAATTCATTTTAAAAGTCATCCATATATCAGATACTAAAACAAAATATAAGCCACGAGTAATATATAAAATATAACAAACATATACCACATATAAAAAGAAATTGATTAATAGGAATTGTAATATATACATAGTAACACAAATCCTAGTTACTTTAGAAACGGTGTCTGATCGGACTCGTCCTCTCACCGTTACTGTCTCTCCCTATTAACATATGAAAATAACGCTTTACACCACCTTGGTTATAATAATTCAACAATACTTTCAAGTAGAATTTTGAGATTCCAAAACACAAACAAATTCATTTGAATTGGACTGCCATGATGAAACCCGCGCTTGCGCAAACCGGAGGTCACGGGTTTACGGCTATGGTTAGCTAATATAAAGTCTAGGAATGGAATGTTAACGTGAACAAGAATTCTTGCTGTACTTCAATTAACGGACTAAACTGTCAATAATGATACCACTAAAGTTTTTGTATTCAACATACATAAACAACTATTACATAAAACCAATTAATACATAACAGAACACAGTTTTTATGGGATACAATCACTGGTTTATTCTAAAAGCACGACGTTTCGACAAGTATCCTCTTATCGTTATCAAGCACAAATTGTCGAAACGTCGTGCTTTTAGAATAAACCAGTGATTGTATCCCATAAAAACTGTGTTCTGTTAATGTGTTCCCCGATCGCTAAATGCCACTTAAAGAATAATTAATACATAATTGAAGTGCAGCAAGAATTTTCGTTTACGGTAACATTCCATTCCTAACAATAGCCGCGAACCCAGCTTGTTGAAATAGCACTAGGGGTAAAACTAAGAGTATAAAACCAAGAGACTCATAGTGAAACTAGCAGTATTAAAGGACAATATTGGTGTCAGTCATTATGTTATAGAACTGGTTAAACACGTTCCAAATAATATTTTAACAAAGAGATCATTCCTTCGATAGACGCGTAATGAAGATTTCATGAAACGGAAGTGACGAAAGCAAAAGGAAAACGTGACATTCCAGGGAAAAATATGTACAAACCCTGCAGGAAAAATGACCTACATGTATGTATGTATGATAATCGTATTATAATTCATATTGACGTTTCAGTGATGTTTTGACCATTTGCCAAAATAGATCTTTGTTGTCATCTTGCCATTTGATATAAGTAGTAGTTTTCAATAGAGCATTCAGTGATTTACTCATATTGACTGCTGCTATATCCTCTAGTAGCACTACTACTATTGACTCTATACTCCTATCTATAACCAATTTCTGAGCTAAACTCATTTCAAATTGACACCATTTACTTCTAGCAAAACCATTGGACAAAACCACAAGAACTTTACGACTGTTTTCCATGTGTTGAACAATATTATCAATGACCAGTTGTGCACCAAGAAAATCTCTTTCGTGGATACACAGCTTAATGTTTTCACCCTCTTCCACGATAGGTTGAAGATCATCTAAAACCCAGTCCCCATCTTCTATACAGTAAGCAACAAAGGCGTCATGAAGAAAATGTTTCTCTGCAATATCTAACAACTGTTTAGGTCTGTATCTCCACATATAAATATGATACTTAATATGCCAGATATATTTGTTGATAACAGAAGCGATAAAAATAACACAAATAAAAAAACATGTTACTGTTGTGACAGAGATAAACGCCCCAGTGTTATTCAGACATATTCTCTCCGTAATATTCAGGCATCTATAGTCGTTAGGATAATCCCAAAACTTGTATGGTTCCCTATGAATCCACTGAATTAACCAAACCAATCCACACTTACATACCAATGGGTTTCCTGCTACGGATATTGTTTTCAACCCCTTCCTCAGCATTTTAGGCAACATTCTACCTGTAATAGTCTGAATTGAATTGTGACTTAGATCTAGGGCCTTCAAATTAATGGTCTCTTCAAATAAATTATTTGGCCAGGTTTTAATTCGGTTATAACTGACAAATAAGTCGGTTAGATTATGAAAATATTTGCCGACAACATTAGGTATATTTTCTAATCTACAACCCACTATGTATAATATCTGAAGAGATTTCAAAGGAGCAAGCATGGCATTTAGTTTTTCCTCTTCTTTAAAAAAATTTTTTGAGACAAATCTAATTTTTCTAACCCATCACACCCATCAAATGAATGTTCATTAATCGTATTAGTCATCAGCTGATTCCTCAGAAGATTAAGATATTGGATTTTGCTGTTGTTGAAAGCACGTTCTTGTATATAAAGCGGGCTTACGCCACTCTGTTTTGAGATAGTTAGGAAGCTCAGAGACTTGAAGGAATAAAAATTATCCGTTTTTAGTAAGGAAATGGAGTTGGCATCCAAATAAAGGCTTTCTAAACTTTCCAGGCAGTTTAAGTATTCCGGAACGATATTAACAATTCTGTTGGTTTGGAGATACATTCTGATTAATTCTGGAAAGGGGTTTCCGTATTTACAAAAGTCTGGTAAATCAAACAAATTATTATTCTCAAGGGAGATACTTTGCAGATGTTGGTTAAAGCCTGTTATTACGGTAGCGATTTCGTTATGCGAAACATCCAATAAAACCAATTTTTGAATTCCGTTGAACGATGATATATTAAGTAGTTGAATTTCGTTATGCGATAAATCCAGAGATATTCTTTTCGAGGACTTAAAATCTTCAAAAACATCAGGTGGAATATCTTTTAAACGATTGTGTTTTGCATCTATGATTGAGAGTTCGCTATTTCTCTGGAAACTAGAGAATACGTTCCGTAAGGAATCTGAGATGAGACGATTATAAGACAGATCCAGATGATAAATCCGTGACAGATTTTGAAACACATTTTCGTCAATATATTGAATCTCATTTTCGTTTAGAAAGAGGTGTGATACTCCGGTGTTGCTGATATTTAAAACTGTTGTTGGACTGATATGAGGTAAATAATTATATTTAAAGTAGATTACTCGGATTCCAGGAGGAAATTTGGGAATGTAGGTAAGGTTTGTATGAATACAATAAGCAACCCGTGGTTTACACTGACATAATCCAGTTGAACAAGCATCCTGACCTGTCCCAGATGTCCAGCAAAGAACAAGGATAAATACGAACAACATATTTCGTCCCTCTGCCATTAAAAACAGTTCCTAAAAAAATATGCATAGTTTGAATAGATGACACAGGGAAATGAAATGGGGTTTAACGTCCTACCTTTCTGCTCCTATTCTGGTTTAATGAAAACGTCCATACGCCATACAGTAGCTATGGGGGGAAATTTTACTCGGGCAGCGGCACTATGGCATACTGTTATATCGAATTCCAACTGCTAAGGGATCTTTTACGTGTATGCCAATGTATACACTGGGCCTCGGTTTTTCGTCCGATCCGAACGACTAGACAGCTGTCCGTGTCAGGCCCTCCGTCCTGCACCACTGACAAGAGGGAACCACGTCTGAAAATCCCGATGACCATTCTCGGCCAATGCAGGGATCGAACACCCGCCCTCCAGACTAGGTGACACGAGGATTCACGCGTTACTTAGATCTATTTGAGACTGACACGCAATAATTTGATGCCAATGTTTACCTGTGCAATACGATGGTCGATGATTTCACCTGGCAAGGCGAGCCTACTCCTTGGCACGCCTTAAACCATTCATCCACCCAACCCCCTTCCGACCTTAGAGAGAGAGAGAGAGAGAGAGATAGAGAGAGATAATTGGGTTTAACGTCCACTCGACACAAACTAGGTCATTTCGGGACTAACATATGGTTCAATTTTATTTTCATAATTCGCTTGCGCGTTGGGGTCTTTAGCAGTTGGAGGAAACCGAAGGACCCGGAGAAAACCCACGAAGTTGGACAGGCGACCCTACTCCTTGTCACGTACAACCAGGGATTCGAAACCACGCCAGTTGACGTTCAATGACAGACTTTATGACACAGCACGCAAGTGCTAACCATTCAGCCATCCAACCCCCCTCACGACCTTAGCATGTTAAACACCAGTTCATTATACCACAAAGCACAAGAAACTTACCTTATGATGAACAAGTACCCTATCAATTATAAATGAAATGAAATGTTTTGTATCCGAGTTGAAACTAAATAAAGATTGCACAGGAAATTAAATAGAGAAACTAACCGCTTTCAATTATAAATGAAATGGATGTCAACTTCCTGCCTTTGTGCACCTACTGAGTCATTTGATTATACAACTACACACATCACAATATCTGGTTAAAACACAGATCCTATTTCGTTTCGTTTTTATAGTTCAAAATTTCGTTTTACTTGTCTTTACTACACTTGGATCTGGAAGAGTTGTTATTTAACTCGTGTTCTGAATGGTGTCAGGGACATATAAGCCAATGAAACGGTATCTCACGGCTAGCTTTAGGCGTGTTTTGCACCGAACTGTGGGTAATCCACTAGTAACATCAATGCTGATTGGTTAATCAAATGCCTGACATCATAGGGTCATAAGTCGGTCTTTTGACCCCTGACGTGACCTATCGCTATAACTTGTCAGATCTTCATGTAGTGTAGGTCACCGAAAGTATAAAAAAAACGAAACGAAATATAGATCTGTATTTTAATCAGATTGCACATCACACATCCTCTATTACTGAAATATAATTAAACCATATGTTAGTCCCGAAATGACCTAGCCTGTGTCAAGTGGACGTTAAACCCCATTTCTCACTCACTCTCTCTATATAAATAAAATCAAAGATGTCTGGGTCTATGTGGGGGGTTGGATGGTCGAATCGTTAGCACGTGCGCGCTAACTCATAAAGTCTGTCATTGAGTCGACTGGCGTGGTTTCGAATCCGCGGTTGTACGTGACAAGGAGTAGGGTCGCCTGTCCAACCTCGTGGGTTTTCTCCGGGTACTCCGGGTTCCTCTCACTGCTAAAGACCCTTACACGCAAGCGAATTATTGAAATAAAATCGAACCATATGTTAATCCCGAAATGACCAAGTTTGTGTCCAGTGGACGTTAAACCCCATCTCTCTCTCTCTCTCAAACTGAATTAAAATATTTAGCTTTTAGCCAATGACCTGAATAATATTCCAAATCATGGCATTGACCTTTGACTCGGACAATCAAGGCCAGCTGTCCGTTTATTACCAAAGTCCAATAATCGTGTTTGATGAATGACGAAATAAAGATAAGAAACGAATCGTAATGTTTATACTTATAGCAATTAGAGGTATTCTAATTGGGATATATCAACTCCTACTAATTGAAATTGATAGTAGTGTTCTGGATTTATTGACCACGGTGGTCAAGGTAGACCCAAGGGAAACCTGTAATTGAATATTTCTGTCTACTATGTTAACATTTATTATATTTTCTATGGCAGTTCTTGTTTTGCTTCTTGTCTTTAATCTATAAAAAAATCCATTAAGACCAGGCCCTAAGTTCTCAAACTTCAGTTACTCAAGCTTGTTCGTCTTCTTTTAACTAAAATATAACCCTTTCTAAACTTGTGTAGTTTTAATGTATCAAATACATCAATAAGAAACTACGTTAATGTTTTGTGTTTCTGGATCAAAGATATTTCTCATAAACTGTGATTGAAAGGTGAGTAAATTCTTAACTTAAGTCTGAGAATGCTTTGTGAACTCGGTGCCTGGTGATCCTTGGGTTCGATCTGCCCAGACTGGGAAAGAATCCGCGGCCATACACACGGAGTCTTTCTTTAAGCCTTCCAACTTACCAAAACGTATATTAAGATCTGTCCAGACATTATTAAAATCGACCAATCTGCTTTACTTCCTATTGATTTCACGTGTAACTGCCATTTCTGATATAAATTCATATCTTTGAAAAACTTTTGTTGTTTTTTATGTATCAAATACATCAATAAGAAACTGTGTGCAATGTTTTGTGTTTCTGGATCAAAGATATTTCTCATAAACAGTGATTGAAAGTTGGGTAAATTCTTAACTTAAGTCGGAGAATGCTTTGTGAACTCGAGCGCGGGGCCTTCTCAACAGCTTGAAATGATTTAAATAATATTTTAATATACAATATATCATGGATATATTTACATATAATATATGGATACAATAACAAGCATTACTACACCTATTTAAACTGTATGGCGGTTTGGTTATGAAGTAGGTGTTCGATCCCTGCATTCGCCGTCAGTGGTGCAGAATGAGGGCCTGACAAGGACAGTTGTCTAATCGTTCGGATGGGACGAAAAACCGATGTCCCGTGTATACATTGGCGTGCACGTAAACGACTCCTTGGTAGTTGGAATTCGATATAAGAGTAGGCCATAGTACCGCTGCCCGGGCAAAATTGTCCTCATAGCACACTGTATGACGTCTTCATTAGCCCAGTGGGTGCATAACAGTTGGACGTTAAACCTCATTTCATTTCATTTCGTTTCTTATGTAAAATCACTTCCATTGACAATGATCATTGAAAAGTTTGACGACTGGATATATTCAATTATCATATTTTACAGGCCCCTGGATAAAGCAATGAATTGGGGCCTGTAAAAAAGACAAAGATTCGATTATCCGTTTATCTTAAACTTTTAAATGGCACAGCCCAGAGAGTTGATTATGGGCTTGTCCCAGAGAGTTGATTATGAGCTTGTCATGTCAATAAATGTTTAAATGATAGTTTATATAACATTTGAAGCCAAAAAAGGCCTACAATAGGCAGATTTAGCTCTTACATATTCCTATCAAGGGTAATAAGAGAGAGAGAGAGAGAGGGGGAGGGTACTCCACTCGACGCAAACTAGGTAATTTCGGGACTAACATATGGTTCAATTTAATTTCAATAATTCGCTTGCGCGTAGTGGGAACAAACCGGAGGACCCCGAGAAAACCCACGAGGTTGGACAGGTGACCCTACTCCTTGTCACGTACAACCAAAGAATCGAAACCACGCCAGTTGACTCAATGACAGACCTTATGATACAGGCCACCCTTCCCTTTATGTCTATGCTTTAATAAAATGGTTCCCAGAAGCGAAGACGTATTTTGATAACAAGCTTAATACGTCTATTTTTTTTTATAAATATGATTTGTATCTTTTGAAGTACCCAATATTAGCGACCGATTCATTGGTCTTTATAATCATAGGACAATGTCGGAAATATTTGATACTTGTCGGAATCCAGGTGAATTCGGTTTACCACATCTCATTTCACTTCGACTTAAAATGAAATGGGGTCAATTCGTTCATTCTAATCGAAGAAATCGTGTCCTTTCAAATGTCCAATAAAGCAAAGACTTCAGAAAGATATAATTGGGCCACATCTAATTGAATGATAGATAAAAGTAAATCAATATAGCGAATCACTGATGAATAATGGAGAACTTCTTTTTTGTCTTACAACTAAAGAAAGGTAGCGAAGCAGATAATGTATAGTTTGTATAAAACAATGTCCTGAAGTAAAGAGCTATTCCCAACAGAGTTTATTTCATTCAGTTATTTTCGTCCACGAGATCAAGGAATAGTTAATGTCGTAAAACGGTCGAAAAACAATAAACAATTTCTTTATACAAATTTAACAAAGTAACAAAAATAAAAATGAGACGTTTTATTTAGATAGTAACTTAAAGGAGCTAAATCGCTAATATTTGGGACCTAGAAATTGACACAAATGGGTCTCAACGCATATAATAATGTAATATGAATGTATATAAACTGATTTACATTCAATCGTTTCTGTTTTTATTGTAATTTCTAATCATTTATTTTCGGCGAAATACGCCAGAAGTCTCAATTGAATGACAATCTTTAACGTCTGGATATTCCAGAATATAGCGTCACCATTTGACATTACTTGTGGCATATGTCTAGCCTCGTTCTTTGAGTACCTTGTTCCAAATGGCGCTAATCGCATTATGGTACACGATTCGTGTACCAATGGCAAAATGTTTATTTTATCTCGAATATTGGATATCAGAAGCCCATCTTTTCTGTAAGATCACAAGACCAATGTTGATTTGAACTGACAAATAATTCGTATTTTCAATGTCGAAGATTTTTGATGATACTGAGTTAGAGACTTAGCTACTTTAATTAAAACAGAACAATGCACTTTTCGTGCATAGTCAGGGTTATCGCAAGGGCGGTCAGAGTCTGTGTGTGGGAGGGGGAGCATCCGGGGCACGCCCCACCTCCTCCCCTTTGGATCCAGGGAGCGCACGGGTCAATTATGTATACAAGTCACAGATCTTAATGTACAATCACAGTTTCGATTTAAACCAGTAGTTCGTGTTGCGTCTGGGGCCGGGTTGCCGGCTGCTGCGCAAGTAAGCACGATCACGATCCCCAGGCCAGTGCGCCCCCGAACTATCCATGGTCTCTGGATCTGCCACTTTATCGCCCAGACGAATACAGACAATAGGCGTCCTATTTTGCTCACCAGACGGCACGCGGGTATTAGCGTGGAATGTCGATGCCAGGCCCATTAACTGACAATAAATCAGAAATGGCAGTTACACGTGAAATCAATAGGAAGTAAAGCAGATTGGTCGATTTTAATATTTTCTGGGCAGATCTTAATATACGTTTTGGTAAGTTGGAAGGCTTAAAGAAAGACTCCGTGTGTATGGCCGCGGATTCTTTCCCAGTCTGGGCAGATCGAACCCAAGGATCACCAGGCACCGAGTTCACAAAGCATTCTCAGACTTAAGTTAAGAATTTACTCACCTTTCAATCACGGTTTATGAGAAATATCTTTGATTCAGAAACACAAAACTTTGCACACTGTCAGTGCCGGACTGGGCCCACCTGTCCACCTGTCCGTGACAGGTGGGCCTAAGCTTATTAAAAAAAGTGGGCCTAAGGGTATAAAGAAAAAAAGAAAAAAGAAAAGAGAAAGAAAGGAGAGGGGAAGGAAAGAAAATAAAGAAGGGAGGACAGGAGACGGGACAGGAGAAAGAAAAGATAGGAAAAAAAATGACAAACAACACAAAAAAAGAAGTGTACTAGAATTCTCAAATTCATCTAATGATAGTGCTCTTAGGTCATTCTGTTATCTAATTGTATCAGGAAATCAAACATTTGCCTTCTTCTTCTTTGGTCTGAAATGCTTGGAAAATGGGTTTGCGGTTGTCAATTTTCAA